AAATCATCCCCCCCAGGGGGGATGGCCACACTACAGTCCTTTCTCCTTCATTCTCTTTTGGGATCTTGGGTATGCACACACATGGGCCCAATGTGAGTTTCAAGCCAGTGGGTCTAGGACATGAACTGCAGTCGACTACGTGGGAATACAGCAATGTAACCATCACACTACCTGCTGGTCCTGCCCCCAACTCTGTTTTTTTAACTGATAAAGTGGCACTATGTGTCTTCTGAAACACTTATTACCCTCTTTTCTCAGTCTGTTGCATAATCCCTGCCTTTGTGGTCAAATCTATCTGGATTATAAACTTTTCTTTATATTCTTTGTACTATCCCACCTCTGTGGCTTTAAGTGATGCTATTCTCAGTCTCAGAAGTTCTCGTATGTGCTATCAAAACTCTCCCATCCTTCAAGTCTCCAAAAAAAAAAAGTCTCTTTTAAGAAAATTTCCCTGGAACTTTTTGCAGCCCATAGAAAACTCTCTATTTCAAACTTTCAAACTTCTTGGTCTCTGTATCTGTTATGAGTTGTTGTCCAGACTTTTTTTTGCCTATGTTTTATTTACTCTCATGGATGATGAACTCCTTGATACTATGGACTTTGTCTCGTTATCTCATCTTACAATAACATCTAGCATGAGATTCTGCCACAGCAGATATCTGGCAAACTTTGTTCAGTAGGTATTGACACGTGAACAACTCAGAAATCATGTTACAACCTTCCATAAGAGACGCAATTTAAAGTGATTAGCATACCCCCCTTTTTCAGACTATCCAGATTATAGATTGATGAAATAGGTCTGTTGATGTCGCTCTTTCTCTCTCTCTCTCTTTCTTTTTTGTTGCATGTGAGGGTACATCACACACACAGAGAGAGAGAGCACTTCCCAATGGGCTGGGACCATGTCACAGGCCTTTTCATCCATTTCTCCATTCTGTTAGGATTTTAGGCATGCATTTACAATCTACCAGAGCCAGGATTCCAACTGCCTTTGACCATTTGGAATCTAGCTTCCTATGCACAGTTTACCTGCTGTTATGGGCTGGTCCATTGTTCCTTTCTTTTATATCTGGTTATTTACAGATGGGACTGAACTCAGAACTGTAAGGTCTGAAAACAGTGCTTTTTGGATTTGTCTACCTCCTTACCTGTTTCCAAGTACAGTTACACTTTGTTCTATCTTCTTGACTTTGAAGTCAAGATTTGCTTACCAACTTGGCTACCATCCTCTAGGCAGTAGTTGGCACACTTGACTGCACAGTGTAATCACCTGGGGGACTTTTAACTTCTTTGAGGCTCATCCTCACCAGTATCAAAGAAAGCAGATTTCTGGGGGTGGGATGCAAGTATCAAGATATATTTTCATGACTTTCTAGGAGAAACCAAGGTGCAGCCAAGGTTGAAGACCACTGTCATAACGACTTTTTTCTCCAACTTGTATGTGTATCATAAATACCTACTTAGCGGGCTAAAACTAGAGGTCCAGACACTTACCTACTTTAGTGAGTGTGGTCCTCAGGTTCTCTATTAGCTCTCAAGGCTGTTTTGGGGAACACCAACATATGACAACTGCCGCTTTACCTGAATGTTACCTCTCCCAGGTAAGAGTGTGCAGCTTAATTAAAATACAGAGGTTCATTCACAAGGTCTTTAAATAACTAATGCTTATTAGTGGAGATTCCATACAGTCTCCTTGGGAACATGATGAAAATGTGTTGCAGACATTGTCTGGTCTATAATAGTATTTCCTAAAGGTTAGATGGGCATTTATTTATAGATTTATGCTTTCATCTTGGTTGTAAATGTTTAGTGCAAAAACTTACTCTTTTATTTTTTTAGAATTATTGTATTTAACTTAATTTATTTATTTATTTATTTATTTATTTATTTATTTTAATTCGACTAGGGCAGGGAAGAGAGAGAGAGAAAGTGAAAAAGCAAGCCACCAGGTCCAAGATTTTAACTGCAGTTGGCCATGTGGGAGTTCTGTGCCCTTAACCACCACGCCACTTACCAGCCCTAATGATTTATTCTTTGGAACATGATGACCACTAAATGTGTGTGTGTGTGTGTGTGTGTGTGTGTGTGTGTGTGTGATAACTAAATAAAAGAGAACATATGTAATGTTCAATGTCAACTTCTGGGTTACATCCAAGACACACCAGTCTTGTCTGTATATGTCAGTCTTTAGAGTGGGTGAGGAATAATTCTATAATGTTGGAAGCTATTTCTGTTAAATTTTAAGGTGGGATACTGTACAGAGAATTTAGGTTTCTTTTGTTCAGGAATAAAAATAGACTCAAAAGGACTGTTCTTAACACTGGAAAAAGGATGTATGAAGGCTCTTGGTGTGGGAAACTATTCTTTGAAACTATTATTACCTGTGTTATCCATCTGAATGCTTCCTAAGCTTGAAAAACCAAATTCCTATATTTTTTTAAAAATAAAACCTGGACAGACAGTGTGGAATTGTTCATTTTTCACATTGTCAGTTACCATTCATTTCCACTTATACTAACCAGGAGCGTTGCATTTCTTCCTTTCTTTTTAATGCTTTCACATTGAATTGGATATTCTCTGTAAGTCTCTTTCAGTTCAAAAAATTATGATTCCAACCCACTGGATTCTCAACTGACAATAATCAGGCTTTTGTCTCTAATCATGACATTCTTAACAGTGACAACATTGTATAGACTGGGCATGTCTGTTCTACTTTGGATTCTCCATTTATTTTCCTAAGCAGTTTTGCATTTTCAAAGCTTTTACAGCACTGAGTACTCAGGCAATTATCATTGGAAATAAACTAATAGGAAATAGGTATGTAGACTGTAGAACTACATGTATAATATATATTGACTCATTTACTTAGCAAATCAAACATTTCCAACCTTTTAAGTTTCTGTGAAAAATTTGAAGGCTTGCAAAAGGAAATTAATATCATTAATATAAATGACATATGGCTCACTAATTGTGTTTTGTTTTTTCTTTATTTCTTGTTTAAGATTATAAAATTTCATACTTATTTAGTGAGGCAAAGAAAGTCTGCATTACCTTCTATTGTAAAATATTCTACAGAATGGTGCTGGCAGGTGGCATGGTGGTAAAGGGCGCTGGATTCCCACATGGCTGACCATGGTCTGAGACCCAGACCTGGTGGCTTGTTTTCTCTCTCTCTCCACTCTCCCCTATGATTAAAAAAAAAAAAAGTAAATAAATAAATAAAGTTAAATAAAAAATAATTCTTTTAAAAAAGATACTCTGTAGAAACACTATGTCAGATGTACTAGTATAACTCAGAAATTGTTTAAAATGGAAAATGTAGCAGAGAGGTTTTAGATGAGTGAAATACTTGTTTTGTTTGGTATCCGAAATAATCTACAATTTGAAATACGTTTGGTACATATTGTTTGTGCTGCTGTCATTTTTAACAGCCAATGTAATAGCTGCCTATTTACTTTTCCTGTTGATAACACTTATCCTATGCTCCTTTCCTTAGAAAGTGGAAGTTTTGTTTTATGAAACTATACTTTTGGGGTGTAAATGTTCTTACTGGGCATCAGAAAAGACTAGGGAGCAAAGAGAGACTTTACAGAAAAGGAAATGGATTTGGATAGACACTGGGCAAACATTCTGGCTTCTGTTGATTGGCAATTGTCTTGAATTATCAAATTACACGGTCCAAGTCTATGTTTCATTGAAAGAGTCCACAAGCATATAACTTAGAAGGAGAAAACACATCAATAAGGATGGGATTTTTCATGACCTTCAGACAAATAGTTCTTTTTAGAAGAGAACTAAGTGTCAAGTAATACATTTTTTTAAAATGAGATGTAATTTACATACCATGAAGTTAAGACTTTTTAAAAATTATTTTGCTATAGGGTGTGTGCATTTGTTGGAGAGAGACAGACACAGAGAGAGGGAAAGTGAGAAATCACCTCCCCAGGGGAAGCCCATGCCACAATCTCTTCTCCATTCTTGTTGTGAGATTTTGAGCATAGATGTCCATGTACCTGATGTGATTTTCAAGCTCCTGGGTCCAAGACACAAACCGTAGTCAGCCATGTGAGAATCTATGCCTTTGGGGCCACTAACTGGTTCCAAAGTTAACACTTTATGGTATATAATTCACTAGGTTTTAGTATATTTACAAGGTTGTACAACTATCACCTCCATCTAATTCCAGAATACTTTGTTGCCCCGTAAAAAACAACTGTGTTCATTAGAGGTTACTTCCTCTTCTTCCCAACCCCTGGCCAGTCTCCTTCTATCACTATGGATTTCCTAGCCTGAAAAGATCACATAAACCATGCAATATGTACCCTTTTGTGCCTGACTTCATTCACTTAGTGGAATGTTTTCAAGGTTTTGTTATGTTGTATCATGTATCAATACTTGATTACTTTTTATGGCTGAATTATATTCCATTGTATGAATATACTAAACTTTGTTTATCCATTCATTAATTGATAGAAATTTCATTTTTTTTCACCTTTTGTCTGTTATGAATAATGCTGCTAAGACCATTTCTGTACAGATTTTTGTGTGAACATATGTGTTTATTTCTCTTGGGTATATATCTAAGACTGAAATTGCTGGATCTTATAGTAATCCTATGTTTAACTTAGGAGTAACCACCAAACTGTTTTCCAGAATGTTTACATTATTTTGTATTCCCACCAGCAATACATGAAGATGCCATCCTTTCCACATCATTGTCAACACTTGTTATTGTCCACCTTTTTGATAATTGCCATTCTATATAAGTGAGTGAATTTTTAAAGTGATTTTTGTCTTACATTTCCAAGAAATAGATTCCTTTAAACAGTTGATATTCAGGCATTTATTTCAAAAACTACGATCTACTTTGGTATAGTAGTTTAAACACACTATCTTCTGACCTCTGGGTAGTTTATTTGGCTATGATGGAATTAATTTTAATAGTGTGTTCTTCCCTCCCTCTCTCCTCTTCCATCTTCTGTTCCTTACTTCTATGACAGGTGCTGACAAAGCTGCTTTCCTCATGGGCATTAACTCCTCTGAGTTGGTGAAAGGCTTGACCCACCCTAGAATCAAAGTTGGTAATGAATATGTTACCAGAGGTCAAAATATGGAACAGGTAAGGTGATATTTCAAAAGTACTACCCTTTTATGATCTTGTAATAAGTGTATACATATTGGATTTGCATATTTTGCTACTACTGAGAATGTTTGCAATGAGTTTCTTCTAAAAAAAGGTAAAAAGGGGGACCAGCAGTTAGCATAATGACTATGTCGCTGGACTCCCATGTAGTCGACTGCAGTTTGAATCCTGGACCCGGTGGCTTAAAACTCACACCGGGCGCGTGTGTGTGCGTGCCCAAGATCCTGAGAGGAGAAAGGAGGAGAAGGGATGGCAGTGTGGCCATCCCCCATGGGGGGTGAATTCTTGCTTTCTGTCTTTCTGTCTCTCTCTGTCTGTTGAGCACACGTGCCCTATAGCAAAAACCTCTCCAAGAAAAAAAAAAAGGCAAAAAGAGCTACTATTATGAGCATTCCAAATGTTTTTGCTTATAATGTGCACCACAGTAGATGTTTTTGTGTTGAGTCTTTCTAGTCTGAAATATGCATTTTGACAGTTTTCCCTTAGGTAACAAGTCTCTTTGCAGGCAAAGACATCACTTGTTGTGATCAACATCCCTGTTGTCCTGCTAAGAAGCTTTTCAAGCTGTTGGTTCCTGACATGAATAAAATTGGCATCCTTCACCTATTTCACATATTGACTTCTTTAGTGGAGCAGACACATGGGAACACGTTAGTTGAGAAAGGGCTTCAGAACATATGCTGAAGTTAGTATTTGAAGGGAGGAAGGGGCTGAGAACAGAAATGAAAGATGGAAAGTTATGTAGGGTTTGTGTAGCATCTAGGAGGATGTTATCATGATCGAATAACAAATTCTCTGAAGTCTGCTGATTTTGAAGCTTTGCCTTAATAGAGAAAGTATTACCCAGGGTTTCTGGGTATTGAGACCCTATAAATATGCCAGTAAATTTCAAAATAATAATTTACATCTGTAATGTATATTAGTCAAAATGAGATAGTCCATGCTAAAGTAACACATGTATATTAAGACCTCAGTAACAACAACTATTTATTTCTTACACCAAGTTGAAAACATATGTAAGCCTTTTTCCATTTCATAAATATGCCATCTGGAACACAGGGCCTGTAAAGTTGTTGAAGAAAGGGAAAAGGGGAACCAGCAGTTAGTATAATGGCTATGTCGCTGGACTCCCACATAGTCGACCACGGTTCGCGTCCCGGACCCGGTGGCTTAAAACTCACGCCAGGCGCATGTGCGTGCATGCCCAAGATCCCGAGAGGAGAATGGAGGAGAAGGGATTGCGCTGTGACCATCCCCCCTGGGGGGTGATTTCTCGCTTTCTGTCTCTATGTCTCTCTCTGTCTGTCTGGCGAGCGCACACGCCCTATAGCGAAAACCTCTCCAAAAAAAAAAAAAAAAGGGAAAAGATAATCTGTGGAAAAAATATACTCACCTTAACTGCTTGGGTCTACAAGTGATAATACTTTTACTAATATTGCATTGGTAAGAATTGGCTAAATTATTGTCTTAGCTATAGGAGTGCTAAAAAAGGTAGTCTTTCTGGAAAGACTGATGTGGTGAAGAGACAGCTCGCTCTTCCTTACATGCTATATATAAAATGTCACAAGTGTGATCTCCTTCCATCATGACAACACTAAGAGACAAGTAGGAAGGGAATACTAACATTTTTCCAACCAAGGAAACTGAGGGTAATGGAACTTAACATGCTAAAGGACATGCAACTACCATAGTATTCAGGTGATTCTCAGATTGTCTTACTCTACACACTTTCTGAACTTGAGAAAGAGATGAAGTATACACATTTGTGATAGAGGACAATTATTTTTATTATAGTAAACTAGTTCTCTCTCTCTCTCTCCCTCTTTATTTTTTATTTTTGAGAGGTTTTTGCTATAGGGTGCATGCACTTGCCACAAAGACAGAGAGAGACAGAAAGACAGAAAGCAAGAAATCACCACCACCAACAACACCCCTGCCCAGGGAGGATGGCCACACCACAATCCCCTTTCTTCCATTTTCTTCTCAGGGTCTTGGGCAAGCATGTACATGCACCCGACATGAGTTTAAGCCACTGGGTCCAGGACTTGAACCATGTAAGACTACATGGGAGTCCAGCGACATAGCCACTACACCAACTGCTGGTCCCAATAAACTAGTTCTCTTGATGTATCAAAGTATCTGATGACCAAAAAATAAAGAAAGAAAAAAGTATCTGAGTACCTTTGTCATTTAAAATATTTAAACAGTTAATCAAAATCAATTTTCTAGTTTAGCCTACTCGTTAAGTCAATAATTCTACGTTTCCCATAATACTAAATGTACTATATTGAAATGATCTGCTTACGTTTTTTTCCTTCCTGGAAACCCGAGCTCCTTGAGGTCATAGACTGTGTCTAACTCATCTTAGTACCCTTATGATCTAATATAGTGCCCTGAAAGCACCAGGCACTCTGCAAATGTGAAAACAGACTAAATGGAGTTGAACTTCAATCATGATCAGCAGGATAAGTAATTGAGCTATTTTTTGGCAGTGGGCTTAGAGTTGTTTGGCAGTTTCATGCTTTCTTAGACATTTTCCAAAACATGCATGCATGACATGCTGTGATTATGCAACAAGGTCTTTTTCTGTATAAGACTAGCCCACGGGAGGAATGAAATAAAACGTTTGCCCCTTTAATATTATTTTCTAAGGGACTGGGTTACCACATCAGCCTTCATCATAATAGAACCAGTGAAGCAAGCTAATATAATACTATTCAATATGAAAAAGACCTACCTCATTTCTCTCTCTGTCTGTCTTGGAGATAGAATAAGAAAGCACACTGTAAGGCTTTTCTTTTCTTAGGAATTTTACTGACTTTGTAGAGACAATTGCTACTGCTAAGAATAGAACTGTGTATGCTCTGTTGATGACAATTGCAAAAGATGGGGAAAATTATCGCAGTGCTAACACTATACAAAATTTAGTTCTAGCTCTAAGGCTACTAACTCTGATACCTTGGTTGAATATCTTCATCTCTTTGAGCCTTCCAGTTAAAAGTTTGAATACTTTTGTTTCTCAATGGAGGGGTGATTGGAATTTAACATTGATAATTATTTCCTGATGTAGGAATGTCTTGCCCATGTAGATATTCGGCATTTCTGGCCCTCATCCTGGCCCTCAGATAATAAAACCCAGTAACATTCTCAGTCACATATTAACAAAAACATGCCTTTCATATTTCTAAACATACTCCTTGTGTGGGAGGTACCATCCCAAGTGGAGAACCAGCATATATGATTATCACGGTTCTTCAAGTCTCATATTTCATCAGCCCATCAGTGCTCCATCTATTAGAAATAAAATAGCTTAATTTTATAAAGATTATCAGTGGTGACAAAACAATAATAATCAGTAGCCACTGAGTACTCACTGTGGGTGCTGTGCTAAGTACTTTACATAGATTATCTCTTTCCATCTAATAGCAAGTCTGCAAAGTGTATCTTATTAATAATATTTCCATTTAACAGCTAAATGCAGTGATTTTAGAAAGATTAACTGCACAAGGTGTCACAGCTAGCAAATCTTTGTGAGAATGAGGAAGAGGTAAAGGTGAGACAAGAGATGGAAAAGGAGGAACTGACATCTGTTGGATACCAAGTGCCAAACATAGTGTTTCCTCTGCCTCATGGCCTCTCTCACAGTGACTCTGAGATGGGCATTCTTTATTATTATTGTTTCACAGATGAGAAGGGCAGGGAGCAAAGTGGTTAAAATCTGACTGTTCGATTCCATTTAATTTTTTTCTGTTTGTTTATTTTTCTGTTGTTGGTGGTAATTTTTTTATCCTGCAGGATTGCCCCCAATAATCAAAGTCTTCTGTGAGGTAATGTTAAAAAGTTCTAAGAAATGGGTCCAGTTAACCCCTGAAAAGTGGAAGTATAGATTTAGTTGTCTCATTCTTTCTTCACTGGATAGAAAATGATGAAGATAATTAGAATGATTAATAAGCAAAGAGTATCTTGGTCTATTGGTTCCATTAATTCATTCAGCAGAAATCGTACCATCTATTTCTCCCTCTGCCTACATCTTCAGCCTTTTTTTCTTGTATTTCTTCACCTGACCAAACAATTTCTCTCCCATCCCTACTTCAAGAGTATTTAGGGCATTAAAAGGGGGTGAGCAAGTTAGTCATGTTCTTTTTAAAGTTTCAAAGTGACTGCTGTTGACAGAGAGTGATTTCCTCAGTGTTACAGGGGAAGAAAATCATTCCTGATGCTTTATTTGTACGGGTGTGCTCTTGACGCTGATAAGAAAGAACGGTGATGCCATCCGGCTTATGGATTACTGTGGAAATGACTCAAGATAACTGATCAGAGAGTGGGTGACTCATAACTAAATCACCACTAGACACCAACTGGCTCCTGCTGAGTGCACTCTCCTGGGCAGAAGGATGGATGTGATAGGCTTATTTTAAATGTTAAGTCGTTGAAGCACATTCTGTTTCCAGACTTGGAGAATGCCCAGCTGAAATGCACTCCTACTTGGAGTCTGTCAGAAGCCTGGCACTACAGCAGCACTTTTGCATTACGGAAGCAGGAGCTGCATGTGTACAGCATCTTCTAGGCACTGCAGTTGGAGCTCTCCCCACTGGGTTACTTCAGCACCTTGGCTGCACCCTTCCAGGGAAAGGAAATGCTGCCTGTTCTCCAGTAGAAGCAGCAGAGTCAGAATGAAGTACCAAATGGCCTCTCTCCATGCAGGGAGTTGAGAGCAACGCTGAGAACTAATAGAATGAAGGATGGGATGCTGGGGCTTGAAAGAATGAGTTTTTCAAGGGAAAGACTCAGTCCAAGATGCTGCATTCCAGAGAGGTTAGGTCACTTATTTGCCACAGGTTACACAGTTGATTAGCCGCCACAGCAGCAGCGGGCAACACATATTCCTAATCACGATACCACTACTTTTCAAATTTCATTATTCATATTGTTAAAGAAAAAAATATCCTGACACTTGTTAAAATGGTAAGGAATATTTTATATTTGGGACTATTCAATTCATGGTATTACAGTGGGAGAGAGATTGGGCTTAAATCTGAAGACAACAAAGATAAGTGGGAATTTACAGCAAAAGAGCAGAGAGAGAAGGGGATCAGTAGGTGGAAAAATACTAAGAGACATCAAGACGTGGGGGAAATCTTGCTCAAGGCAATCCAAGAATTTATATATCAAATGTGGAGGATGAGGACTTTAACAGGTATCACAAGCGAGGGTTTCTCTCTGAAGTGACTTAGGATTCTTACTGCAATTGTGCTAGTATATATGGTAAGTAAGGGCAAAGCTAGGGTGCGGGAGAGTGTGACTAAAGTTTTATCAAGTAGGTTGCTAGGGGTTATGTTAGAGTACAGATTCTGATCCACTAGGTCTGGGACTGGGTCTGGAAGTTTACATCTTTAAAAGCTCCCAGGTGATGCTGCTGTTGCTGGTGTTAGAACCACATTTTGAGGCGCAAGCCTTTAGAACACATTAAGGCACCATATTTAACACTGGATATTTAATCATTTAATAACAAGAACATGAGTTCTCTCACCTAAGCTTTTGGTAGGGAGGTACTAGTACCAGACTGGCTGTGATTCCAGCCTGAGGACTGAATCCAGGTTTGGCTACCTGTTGCCTGAAAGTCAATACTCCAGGATCAAGTGTTGGTGGAGAGAGGAGGTAGCTTTATTTAGGAAAATGGTGCCCTGGAAAGACAGAGAACTAATGTTCAAAGACTATCTCTGAAGTCAGAGATGGGACAAGGAATTTTAAGGGGACAGAAGAAAAAGGAAATGGGTGGTGGGGCAAGGCAAGGGAAATAAATGCTCTTTTGCACAGTAATCAGTCATTTTCTTGATCACATGAAGACTTATTGGCACCAAAGTTGCTATTTACAACTCTAGTTATCTTGCCCACAAGGCCAGAATGTTCCTTCTTATCCTTCATTTTCTTAGACATAGCTACTCTCTGACAGGGATCTCATGGCCCAATTCTTGCAAAAATGCAGCAAAGCTATGATTAATTTTTTTGTTACAAGTTAAACAGTAAAGTGAGGTCAGAGGGCAAAGGGGCAGCAAACTATGTTTAATGGCCATTCTATTAGGTCACATTTAATGTGGAGTCAGTTTGGTGTCTTCTTGTAGCTCAGCTACAGCATCATCAGGCTAACTTGCTCCTTTCTCCTCCCCTTCACCTGTCCCCCTCTTTTTTTTTTTTTTTTGGGAGAGGTTTTTGCTATAGGGCGCGTGCACTCACCAGACAGACAGAGAGAGACAGAGAGATAGAAAGCGAGAAATCACCCCCCAGGGGGGATAGTCACGCCACAATCCCTCCTCCTCCATTCTCCTCTCGGGATCCTGCGCACGCACCCACATGTGCCCGGCGTGAGTTTAAGCCACCGGGTCTGGGACTCGAACTGCGGTTGACTACGTGGGAGTCCGGTGACATAGCCATTATACTAACTGCTGGTCCCCCTTTCCTCCTCTTTCCTTCTCTTCCTTGCTGCTTTCTTCCTTTCCTCTCATAGTATTCAGCATAATGAACCTCAGAGGATCAATAAATACATTAGAAAGTGATTGCTAATAGAGAATGTCTGAGATTAGAATGAAGCAGTGTTTTCAATTGATATCTAGGTAAGCTATGCTGTTGGTGCCCTGTCCAAGTCTATCTATGAAAGGATGTTTAAGTGGCTGGTAGCACGTATCAACAGGGCCCTGGATGCCAAGCTGTCCAGGCAGTTCTTCATTGGCATTCTTGACATCACCGGCTTTGAAAACCTTGATGTAAGTATATCTGGTAAGAAAGAAGATGATGCATATTTATAAAGAGATTTGAAAATGTGACTTAAACATGGGAAAATATGATCAAAACATGATGAGAATCATTCTGCAAGTAGGCTTAATTACCTTGGTTGAAAAAGAGCTAAATTTAATGTTAATAATTATTATTAGCATTAAGAATCTATTAATTTCTTGGTCCAGCAGGTGGCATGATGGTTAAGGCAATGGACCCCACATAACTGGCTGCATGGTTTGAGTCCCAGAACCAGCGGCTTCAAAAACACACTGGGTACATGTATGTGCTTGCCCAAAATCTCGAGAGAATAGAGGAGAGGGACTGTGGCATGACCATCCCCCTTGGGAGTTGATTTCTCACTTTCTCTCTCTCTCTCTCTCTGTCTCTGGTGAATACACATGTCCTATGGGGAGAAAAGCTAAAAAAATTATTAATTTCTTAACTCAGCCTTAAAATAAATAGAGGTTAAGACTTTTATGATTTTTAGGTAAAATACCATTAAGCATTATTTTATTTTAATCATCTGGAGTTTCCAGGTACATGTGAGAATTTGTTCCTCTTTGATCTATTGGCCATTGTACATAGGTTTCTCTTTACTGTATATTATTATTTTGGGGTTTCTCTTTACTGTATGTTCTTTCAAGTAGACCTCAATTTTATTTTTATCTGTTCTTTTTAACCTGTTCATATCTTTGAAGTATAACAGCTTTGAGCAGCTTTGCATTAATTTTACCAACGAAAAATTACAACAGTTCTTCAATCATCACACATTTATTCTGGAACAAGAGGAATATAGAAAAGAAGGCATTGACTGGGCATCCATTGACTTTGGTCTGGATGTGCAAGGCTGCATAGATCTCATTGAGAAGGTAGTGCATGTTTTTCTCTTTGTCCATTTCATTTAAGGAGAACTCTTTGCTTGCCAAGTTGGTCCATGTCGGTAATAGGCTCTGTCAGAGGACGGGAAATGGAGCAGGAGAGCCCTGCACATTTTGACTTGACAGTCTCAGTGTGCAGCCCCCGTGGCACCCTAACCAAACTCCACGTCAGTTGACCTACTCCATCATCACTAATGCAGACTGTCGCTACACATTTGCTGCTTACGCATGGCCTCTACTGTTAATGTGTGAAGAAACTTGTCGAGATTAAAAATGGTCATGCTCCTAACTGGAAAAACACAGAGCTGAAAATATGAGCACTGTAGAGCCTGGCTGATTAACATAAGGTGAATGAGTAGACCCAGAGCAGCTTAACAAAATTTGGCAAATTAGCATGCAAACAAACAACTGCCATAAATCCTCAAGGCCACTACCTTATAGATGTAGTTTGTTCATTTAATTGGACAAGTACCAGTTAGTTTAAGTAATTTATGACAATACTTCATGGCTTATTAGTAAATTAGCTGCAGTGTTCGGTTTCTGAATTCAATGATGTTCGCATATGCTGAGATCTTGCCGTGTGCCCTGGGAAAGATTAATGGGGTCTGCTGGGGGTAATCTGTATGGACTTTTTTGTGGCTTTGTCTACCAGAGCAAGCCTGGCAGCATTTTAGCAGTTACATGCCCCTCGTATCCTGCTATAATTGCAGAGAATTTTAGATGCAGACCTGGGGAGGTCAAAGCCGTTAACTTTCTGAAAGCTTCCTAGCTACAATGTCCCATTTGAGTCTGAACAATCCTGTCAGGAAGAAGCTGAGGTGACTGACCTCTCTGTTCTTTGCAAGCCTCAGATTTATCAATTAGTTTCCTATCAATTTTATTTATTAGACTTAAGATGAAACAAAATCTTCCTTGAAAATCACCATTGTTTCTAACAGGAATAGACATGATATTGAGTTTACTTCTTTTGTAACTAGAGAACTTCCTGGAGGTAAAACAGGCTAATTAAAAAAAAACAGAGAGATAGTGAATCAACCATGAGCTGATTAAAAATAATAATAATAACAAACCAATCACCATTTAGTAAATGTTTCTGGCATTAAGAAAGCTCTAGTTTTCTGATTAGAAATAAAACAAAAAAATTCAGGTCCTCACTAGGACAGTTTTAGCTTCTGGCAATTGTCACCTGTAATATTTGCCTAGTTTGATCAAAATATGATCCAATTTTCAGACAGGAAGGTGGGACATAGACACTGTTGAGATCCTGATAGGTCTGTGAATGTTACTGATTGTTAGCTGATCTGAAGCCTACTGCCTTATTTATGCCAGTCTCAGTTATTTCAAATGACACCCTAGCAACATGGATATAATTTCCTGTTGCAAAATTTTCTACTGATAAGATAAAATAAGAGAAAAAAGAAAGTTTTGACCACAGACGATAGAAGGAAAAGATAAGTTTTTGGTTTCCTTTGAATAATTTCAAAGGAATTTAGGTCAGGCAAATGAGGAATACCAAAACCTTCCTTGAAAAGATTTTATATTTTGGAAAGATTTTATGTTAACTCCAAATTATCAGAGGAAAATTTGTGGCAAATATTAATAATCTAACTCACTCCTTGAAATAGAATGCATTATAGAACTTTTTTTTTTTTTGAAGTGTTTTTTTTTTTTTTCTATA